GTGTTTAATCAGGCAAATCAGTGAAAAAGAACCAAAGAACTTACACAAACAAAGACATTGCCAGTGATATGACCAAAGCTGCTCCTAAGTAATAGTACACCCTGGCTAACGCCTGTCTAAGCCTCCAGTCATAACAAGTCAGAAGAAGATTAGTGAGAGACTGCTGTGCTGCTGGGGAAAAGGCAAGAGATATCTCTCTTGGGAGAGGAAACCAGAAAGTTATGACAGCTTGCTGCTAACTGGACCAGTTATTTGACATAATTACTTGCAAGTGCCCAATTGTTCTCTGTCCTGAGTTTGGATGCGATCGTGACTGTAAACCCGAGGCCCACATCTCCTGTATTTGCAAGCGTGAACTGAAGATTCCTGTGATCGAACTGGCATTTGTCAAAGCACAGAGAGAGAAGACTGGCAGTATAGGGGCTCTCATGATTTCTAGCCAAGATATTCTGGAGTCCAAGAGACAGGAGGCTGCCACAGAGAGACAGAAGAGGAGAAGAGTTGCCGAGGAAAAGAGACTTGAGAAGGCCCAGGGTGAGGTAAAAAAGGCCGATGATTGGAGTCAAGCTGATTCAGAGTTTAATGACTTCCCCATGGCTGATCCGGGTGCTGACCAGGAGAATGGTGACTTTGTCCCTAACCCAGAAAATAATGATCCCAAACCTTCCAGGCATAAGATTGAAATAGAAAGATATCCTGAGCATGCTTCTGGCCAGCATGCGACACCAATAATTGGTCTTCAGAGAAACTGCAGAGATAGCAACAGCTGCCTGATTGACGGTGGTTAGATAACAATTTGATGATGTTCTACCTGGTGATAGATCATAAACAAAGTAAGGAGAGCTCAGGAGAAACTTGTCAGTAACCTAGAAGAGGAGTGTGATAAGGGGATAAGAGAAAATGGAATCAATTGTTTGTTCTTTGATGGGAGAAAGGATGACACTAAAGTGTTCATGAAAGTTGGAGATTCTGACAAGTTGTTCCCTGCCATGGTGAAGGAGGAACACTACTCCTGCTGCAGTGAACCAGGAGGGAAGTATTTGTGGCATTTCACTCCAGAGAAAGATGACATCAGGAAACCAGCTGAGAAAGTGGCAGACAACATTGTGAACTGGCTCAGAGAGAGGAACGTAGACCAGACCCTGCAGGCCATTGGAGGGGACAGCACCAACACGAACACAGGGTGGCAAGGGGGGTCATACAGTGGATAGAGCGGAAGATTGGGAGGAAGCTGGTCTGGATTGTTTGTGACCTCCACACCAACGAGTTGCCACTCAGACATCTGATCCAGGAGCTGGATGGCAAGACTCTTTCAAACAACAGATGGTCTGGTCCTCTTGGCAAGATGCTGGACTCTGCCACTGAGTTAGAAATAAATCCGAGCTTTGAAAAATCACAGTTGG